CCACCTGGTTTCAGGGCTGGCAGAGCATGCTGTACCAGGCATCAAACTCTGGTCCTTGCCCTTGCCAGGCAGGCACTTAGACCGCTGAACTATCACCCCAGCCCTGTAAATGACTTACCTTGATTCTTTTTTTGCCCCATCCTCCTACCTTCCTTTTGTTTCCTCATTTTTTAAGGGGTGATTATAAAGGAAGCTCTTTACAGGGTTGTAGTAAGGAATGAATCAGATATAGTAGTAGGTTGAATGCCAGGTGTGGCGTGCACACCAGTAATTGCAACTACTCAAATGGCTGAGGCAGGATAGATAGTTAAGAGGCTAGCCTAGACAATTTTTTTTTTTTTTTTGAGACAAAGTCTCATGATACTGTTCCCGTTGGCCTTTAACTCACTATACAGCCCAAACTGGCCTTGAATTCCTAGAGATCCCCTACTTAGCCTCCTGAGTACTAGGATTATAGGCAATGTGCTATCAAAGCTAGCCTATCTTCAGACTACTTGTTTTGTTCAGTTATGTATTTCAAGGCCTGACCTAATTCTGCTTAAGACATGTGTACTAAATGACAGGATTCTTGCCTTCTGAAACTTTCCTAGGCAAGCCTAGCTGATTTTGTTCTAGAAATGTACCAGGTACGTTACAAATTTCCTATGATGAATGTTAGAATGTTATTATGCATATCTAAAATGTACTAATAAAAAAAAGAAAAAGCATCCATGACTCCCCAAATAATAAATGCTCACAAATTGAGTGCTTACTAAAAGTAAATATCTAATCTCTGCACTTAGAAAACTTAGAAAAAATACTGAAAATAAATCAATATAAAAGTTGTCACAAGGCAACACATGACTAGGACCCAAATGGTATGGGCAATAAGTTTTACATATTTAAAAACAAGTGAGTGTGAGTTGGAGGAGCATGGAATACAAAATATAACAAGAATAAAACGGCCATGATTAGAGATTTCCATCGAAGCCATTCTTACAATCTAAGAATGCTTTATAACATCCCAACTTGTCAATCCTCTGTCATTTTAGGCAGCAAAAAGGTTCCATGACCAAGGATATTCCAATTCTTTCTCTTGTTTTAAAGGATGCTCCCTGTGTTCTAGTTCCTGCCCCCTTTATCTCTGGGTAGTCCAGATAAGTAAGAAAGCCATGGGCACAAGTGGCTACTAAGTACTTGATATGGCTAAATTCAGATGTGCTGAAGTGTGAAAAAAAGAATGTAAAACATCTAGTTTTATACTGATTATGTGTTATTAATCTTCAGGTTAAATAGACTACATTGTTAAAATTAAATTTTTATCTGTTTCTTCTACTTTTTAAACATACCTACATATGCATTGCAGGAAAATGAAAACAGGCTATCTCTAACCAGTTTTCAAAATCCACCTCAAAATGAATTTAACCCTCAAACATGAGACCCGAAACTGAAACTACTGAAAGATAACAAGGGAAAATGCTAAGAAAAAAAAAAGGGGGGGGAATGCTTTAGGACCCTGGACTGTGCAAAGATTTTTGGAGACAAGAGCCCCCAAACACAAGATACAAAAGCAAAACTTGACCTCTGCGGAGTAAACGACCATCAGAGTGAAGAGACCACCTACAGAAATGGAAAAAATATGTATGTGACAAAGAGGATAATATTCACACTACATAATTAACTAAAAAAAGAGCTAGGTTTAAAATACGAGCAATAGATCTAACTAGACATTTATCAAAAGAGATCAATAGGTATATCAAAAAATGCTCAGCATCATCAGTCAAATTTAAGTCAAAACCCCAAGGAAGTATTGCCTTTAGTAACAATGGTGATAATCAAAAAGACAAAACATAACAAGGCTGGCAAGGCTTGCATACTGTTGGTAGGAATCTAAAAGTGCATAGATAGCTACTGTGGAAAACAAATTATTCTACTAGGTGTATACCCAAAGAGTATGTCGAAAAGACATCTACACTCTCAAGTTCACTTCAGCAGTATTCATAACTGAGAGATAGAAAAATTTAAGTGTACATCAACTGATAAAAGTATAAAGAAAATGTGGTACACCTAAATAATGGAGTATTATTCAACCTTAAAAAAGTATTAAATCTTGTCATTTGCCACAACAAGGATACAACTGGAGATCATTGAGTGATACTGCTGTAGACAGCTGAATTAGAAACATTACAGGCAATCAAACAGGGCCAGGCCCTCAAGAGACAATGTGGAAGACAAGATGACTTGTAACTTGGAAGAGACAGACACTCCCATATGAGCCAGACCTCAAGACAAAAGAGCAAACAAGTACAGCTCCATACTTCCCTAGGGATGGGCATCAGGGATTGATATTCTAAGTAGGTATCAATCACCTTGAAAGAGCCCAAATGAGTCACTAACCCAACCCCCAAAAAGAAGAGACCCTATCCCCGTATTCCTGCCCGCTGGCTAAGTGACTCACTTCCTCATTTGGTCCTGGATTTAATCAATTTTACCTGAGTAATGGTGCTTGCAATCTCATTGCTTGACCATAGTTTTGTCCCATCTCATGCCTACCTAAGCGAGTTCCCACGTTCTCCACCACCTTAGACCCCCCTCACCACATGGTTTTACTCTATAAAAGTCCCTGGAAGAAAGTTTCTCTTGGACCACGGGGGTGAGGGGCCTTCTACCCCTCTCTTGGACAGAAGCTTTCTTTCTCCCAATAAATACATTCTGCTCTTAACCTCCCCCTATATCAATACAAGCCAGGCACAGAAAGATTACAAGGTCTCAAGTTGATTTTATGCATGGTGAGAGTAAAATGCTGAATACTAAGTTACAGTTAGGAGTAAGAAGTTCTAGTGTACTATTTATTACAGGATCCATTGGGTAGCTACAGATAACGCACTATGTATTTCAAAAAGCTAGGAGTTTTGAAATTTTCACCATAATGAAATAGCTAAGGAAAATAAGTATGCTTACCCTGATTTAAACGTTATACAGTGTATACCTGTACTGAAATATCATGCCCTCCAAAAGGTACCCTTTTTACATTTTTTACTTATCAGTTCGAAGAATTAAAATTAAAAATGGAGCCACGAAAAAAAATTTAAACTAAGTGTGTGGTTCCAATTATGTCTCTTTTGGACCCCCAAATCCCCGCCTTTCCCAGCGATGTGTTTCTTCGAATGAACCAATCATACATCTCAGCTCCTGCCTCCCTGGTCTGTCCTGGACAAGACTGGAGGCACTGTGAGGAGCCAGAGACGCCCCTCAGAATGGTTACCTTCTGTGCCTACCAGACAATAGCTCACGGGGGCGGAGATGGTGAACACACAGCGGGACAAGGGTGAGGGCGAGGGCGGGGAGGCGGGATGAGGCGGGCCCGGGCGCCAGCTGAGCAGGCCCGGACCGTCGGAGCGCGGCAGGGCGTCGACCTCGGGACTCACCAGCCGGTGGTCCACGTCTGCGTCTGGCCGTGTGGCCGAAGGGGGCGAATACTCTGCGTAACGTAGCCCCTCGCTGGCTGAGGCAACGCCACCGCGAGCGGCCATGGCAATGTGGTCTCCGGAGACGCGCAGCGCCGCCTACGAGGCGGCCACAGGGACAAACTTCTAAGACCTAATTAATTACGCGCGCCCTCACAGACACTTTCTATTGGATGTGTTGATTAAAGCAAAACCCTAGAAGAGTTCCTTCTCGTTTTATCTCGGATCAGCTTGTCCCATTAAATCCCAAGGGCAAGCTCGCGAGCCAAGCCCTTGGGTGGAAAAAAATCCCCCCTCTCTCAGGTTCGCTCGCTCAAAGCCAAGGCTGGAGCTCCTTCAGCCTGTGGTGGTGTGGACTGGGCTTACGCCTTGTCTAAGGTGGGTCTCTGACGCCGGGCCAAGAGCGGCTCCGCTGGTCCAGCTGTAGCACAGGAGCCTGAAATTTCGATTCCCAGTCTTTCTTCCCACCCACGTCTGATTACACTTCTGTTTAATGTCATATTTCTCCCACCCAGCAAGAGGCCATTTGTTTACTCTATCTCCAAATGAATAGCTATATTTGAGGTGAATTTACAGAAAAGAGATTTGTAAGCAAAAAATAAATAAAGCTCACTTTCCACAAGTGGTTTTGTGCAAACTTGAATATAGGCTCACTTTATTATTAATTTTTGAGTGAAGTTTTTGAGCAAAAATTAATCAACAATTGAAGCTTGTATAATGTATTCCAACTCCTGCACTGATGCTCTTTTGACCCTTATACCCACTGCAAAATTAACTTACAAAAAGGGCAATCTTTCTTTATATTCTTTTCCAAAATTAAAAACTTTAAGGAGCTATTTATTCATGATTAATATTATTAACAGGCCCATGAGGTTAGGGCTAGAAGAATATTTACAATCAAGGAGAGAAGATAACACTGACCTGGTGAAAATAAATAATAAATACTATAACATGAGCACATGCATTGTAGAGCAGTATAAAGAAACTAGAGTGGAAGTAAAAAAATCCGAATTCTAGCAGAGGTGCCATCATTTTTCTGGTTTGTTTCTCTGAACACGCCCATTATCCTTTCTAACTCTTTCTTATCTGTAAGAGGGAACTCACATTTGACTGACATTCTGACTGAGGAAAGTTATAAGGACAAAATTTTAAAAAATATTTAAAAAATAAAGAAAATGAAAGTAGCAATCACAATGGCATTGGGGTTTACAGGAGGGAATGGCTACTTTTAACAAGTCATAGAATTTTTTTGGCGGCTCAGCCATTGAAATGGTCAGTAAAGAATGAATAAAATTATCTTAGATGGAAGAGGAAAAGAGCCAGAAATGTTGACTGGGAACAAATGTAAACAAAACATGTGGCATGTAGGACTGAGTTTAAAATATTCCAGTACTCTTCAGAGGCATAATCTTACTATGTTAATTGATTTTTATTAAACCAATGCACAACTACAAAAGATGTGAGTGAATCAATTAAAGGGACTGGGGCCTATGGATGATCCCTCAAGCGTCCGTGCATTTATGCAATAATTTCTTATTGGGCATTTGATAGGTATTATGCATTATGGTGGACATTGGACCTTTAGCATCAAGCAAACAATAAAGTTTATGAGTCATTGGAATTCACAGTACATAAGAGCTTATGGTATACCTAGCAGCTGGTTCCTAATAGTCACAGGCTAGGAGCAAATGACTAGGGCAAGACCCAGGTGAGCCAGCTCTTTTTTGAACAGCTGTCCTTGCTCAAGAACTGGAGGGAAATTTCAAGGGCAGAAACCAGAAAAGGTAAGAAAGGAGAACCAAGCAGGGGACAGTATAGCAAGGCGTGGGAGAGTAGGCTCTGCAGTTACATCTCAGGTCAGACCCCAAACTATAGATACAATTGATCCCTTTTCCAATTCTGTCTTGGGTGTCTATTCAATGAACATGCCGATTTTTAAAGAAAAATCTCATCCACCAAGACTATTTGGCCCCCAGCCTTTATTTTCTTGGTGAGTTCACTCGCCACAAAAAAAAAAGTATAGAAATAACTCGAAGAGCTTGGTGCGGTGGCACACACTATAATCCCATCACTCAGGAGGTTGGTACAAGAGGATCATCCCAAGTTCAAGGTCACCCTGGGCTATCTAATAAATTCAAAACCAGCCTAAACTACACAGTGAGACCCTGTCATCTTAAATATACTGGGAAAGCAATAAAATATTTTTTCTCCCCACAAAGATCTCTTCCCCCATTAAGCTAAATTCATTTTTTTTATTTCCTTCAAAATGAAGAATAATTTTTATGAAAGCCAAGAGAGGCCATATTAAATGTTCACTGATTTATTTTTATTAGCTGTACCATTTTAAAGGCATTACATTATGCTCAATAGGCTTTGTGAAAGAAAGAAAGTAAAATACTTTGGATACATCTCAGTAAAAAATGTTTTTAAAATTTTGTAGTTTGAAAGGGATTTTAGGGGAAAAACAAGTGACTTTTTGTGTTTCAGTTTACTCATTAGTAGAGGGGATACAAGTAGCACCAGCTTTATGAGGATTACATGATGAAACAAGCTCAGTTTTGAACGCTCTCAGAGCAGCACCTGATTCCCAGTAGTACAAAAGCGCTAATACTATTTTCATCATATTATGTTCTTCATCTATGTATTTCCTTGGTATTTGGTTTTTCTGCCCCACATTTCACCAACAGTTGTGTTTATCCTCTAGTGGTTATCTTATCTGGTACTGCAAATAATTACCAAAAGTTAAAATTACAAAAAAAGAAATCTAAAAATTAAAATTACAAAAAGAAATTATAAAATTTTGTTAAGCATTATGTGTAATGAAGCATATATATGAAGAAGAGTTATGAATTCAATGCCTTAGAAAGACTTGATAAAATCAAGTTATTAAATTAAAAAAAAGAGCTGCCAAATTCTCTTCTGCCATGAGGAGAGAATCAGAAAAAAAAAATGAATGTAATTCTATGCTCAATTTTTTCCTAAACTCTGATTTTTTCTTCATTTCAAACAAATCTAAATTAAGAATCTAGAGGATGCATTATTGTTATGGAAGAAATCCAAGACAGAACAGAATCAGAAGGCCCACAAAAAAGGCTCTGGCCCTACAAATATGCAGAGTACATGAATACATAACAATGTGTCAGTTGGATATTAAAATTTCAGCAGGGGTACAGGTAGGGGAGATATTTCTGTGGTCTAAGCACCTGCCTGGCAAGCACAAGGTTCCAAGTTCAATCCTGATACCACATGTCATGCAGGTCCGGGAACCTCAGGCGTACAATACCAGTCCTGCAACCTGGTGTTGTGGTGCACACCTGTAATCCCAGGACTAAGAATGCTGACACAGGAGGATCATTATGAGTTCAAGCTGCATAACAAAACCCTATAACAACCAAATAAATACATAAAAGATTTTTTTAAAAAATTTTTCAGCTGAGTAGAGAAATGATTAGAGAAAAATTTAATAAAGCTCTTTGGAGGAGATAATGAAAAAAAGTTGAGAAACTGATTTATATATGATGCTAAAAAAATTGTTTTAAGGGGCTGATGAGATAGCTCAGCAGTCTAAAGCGCCTTCTTAGGCAAGCTTAGGCAGACACACGGGACCATAGTTCAATCCCTGGTAGCACGTGCTGCTCCAGCCCCACCCTCAGGGTGGGCTGAGCAGGCCAAAAAATAATAAAAAATTATTTTAAGTGTGTATCATATCATCAAAGGGATCAGGATGTATCTTAGTAGTAAAGCCATTATCTAACATGCACAAGAAGCTGTGTTTATCCCTAAAGCCACTAAATTAACTAACTAATTAATTAATTAATTATAACAATTTTAAAAGTATAGTAAGGTGGGGAGATAGCTCACCAGTGTAAATACCTGCCTGGCAAGTGCAAGGTGCCTAGTTAGATCCACGATATCAAAGAAAAGTACAAAAAGGAATGCTAATAAAAATATGTACATTAGTATTAGGATCTCAGATTTGATGAATCCATAAAGTGCCATACTGGTACAGTCAGAAAAAAGGCTATACTGTATGACAAAATGTAGAGGGCACAAAAGAAGAGGCATCTACAATGTTTAAGAAAGGAGTGAGGAAAATTAACTCTCAGGCTGACACTGGGCAGGCGAGTACAGATTACTTCATTGACAAGAATGAAGCAATCTTAGGGAAATGAGTTTCAAGAAAAATTATAAAGAAAATAATAAAGATAGATGAGGGTAAACAGACACTCAAAGTCCAGATATTGCACAGCTTTATACAATAAGCAAAAGCATCTAGATTTCATTTTATAGGTAAGGAAAGAATATCAAAAAATATTGAATCCTGGGCTGGTGAGATGGCTCAGTGGTCTAAAGCACCTACTTAGAACAAGCTAAGCTAAGCAAAGCACAGGGACCTCGGTTCAATCCCCCAGCACCACATGCCAGTCAGCCCCACCCCCTGGTGGGCTGAGCTGGCCACACACACACACACACACACACACACACTAAATAAAAAAAAATATTGAATCCTGTAGTGACATGATCAGATCTACATGATGGAGGACCATCCTCTCAGCAATGTGGTGATGGCCCAGTCAGTCAGAAAGTTACCAAGATAGTCTGAGTAAGAGATAAGGGGACATGGAAAAGAGAAATAGAGGGGCCTGCTTTTGTTTCTTCACCACACGCAGTCCCCTGTGGCCCCTCTCAATGTGGATTCCCCCCATTGACTCCTTCCCCCACACTCAGGGGTCCTATGACTGACCTGAGCCAATCAATGTACCTCATCACTCCAGTCATGCAGCTTCTTTCATGGGTGGGTACTTTGCCCTTTTGGGGGGATTATAAGAAAGGTTTGCTTAATGTTTCTGGAAAAGCAGCATCTTTTCTCTCCGCCTGGATATGAATGAGGAAGTATGAAGTCCTAATTTTGCTTGGAAGTTGTTTGATAACCATGAGCTAGTGTCACACTAATTTATCATCAAAAACAAGGTTATAATTTCAAAACAAGACAGTGTTATAAATAATTCATTTAGGATGATAGATTTAACAGAAACTAGCCAGCAAAACAGGACATATGGCACCTGAGTCATTAGAAGAGATGGTCCTAAGATCAGGGA